ACCCCCCTTCTGAACCAATATTTTTAGGTGCCCCCCTTTTTCAGTCAAAAATACCTCATGACCCACTATCTTTTTTTGCCAGCCCACCCCCAGTCATAAATAATGAATGGTCCCTAACTGGCGGAAGTGCTTTTTTTTTGGGGGGAGGGGCTGGCAAGCGCTCGCGTTAGCCGGCCTCAGCCCGCTCTTCAACATTGAACTATATATTTATATATGTATCGCTATACATTGTTCTCCAACAACGGGGGTGGACTCCTGTGGGTTAAACATGTTGATTTAAAAACAACTAAAAACGTGAACAAAGCTACGACCAAGCCTAGAATAAAGCCTTCGTAAAACAAATTAATAATCCAATTATTCATTAATCACAAATAATACAATTTTTGGTTTGTGGCCTCAAAATACAGATAGTTATAAAAAGACTAATGTTGACCGCGCACAACACAGTGGCCTGGAACGCGGGAAACGGACGACGTCACCAAACTGACATGACGTCATTGACGCAACTTTAAAAATTGAGAAAATGGCAAGACAATGCAATACACCACCAACTTATACTGTATAATTCACAATTGACACGATAAAATATACATATCCCTGCAAGAATGTTATGCTGAATAATTTGAAAAGTTCTTTCTAATAGGAGTCTAATAGGCTACAAATGTAATTGCAATTTAATACATGTGCGTAAAATTCGTGTGATATACCCGTAAACATTGAGATTTTAGGTAGACGGATGTAATACATAATAAAAACAATAACCACATAGTTTCATTTTTAATTAATGTAAAGAACATTAATTAAAACAGAAACAAATTCAAATTTTCTAAGAAGTATATTTCCAACGATTAAAAGAATTGTTTTCGGCTTTTAAGAAAGCTATGTACACATGCGATGCAATATCACGATAATCACGATAATTACGATATATCGTTTCTGCCTTCAATACGATATGGCAGAAGGAATCGATAATATCAATAATTGCCCAACACTATTATTAATCAGGTACATTTACAAACAGATAAAATTCCGTATGAATATAGAATGTGATGCGAGTGACATCGCGTGTGAACAAGTAACCATTTAACATGGACCATGGTTATTAAAAGATAAAAAGTTCTCAAATGTAGTAAGGTGTAAAACAATGTCACACGGTCGCCATCTCAACTTCGCTGACAGTCAATGTTTGCGGATTCAATCCTGCTAACATCAGCTGTTGCTTGGCAACCATTTCCTCGAGCTTAGCTTGAACTTCCACAGCTTCCTTCTTCACAATAGGAAGTTTAATTTCAGTGACAAATTCCGAAGCCGCGATAAACTGGTACAGCGACGTGATGTTTGCAGGCTCAGAAGGCAGGTCAGTTAGAAACAAGATTTCCTGAATGACGACAAGCATGATGGTTTCAAGCTCGGTCCAGATCCCCGAGGAGAGCTCGCCATCTTGGTTGGACGCAAACACCGCTCCTTTGATTCGCTTGTAAGACTAAAGAAAAGTAGTTTCGTTCAGACAAAAATAACTTCTGCTGCTGTTTTTAGAGATATAAGCCATTTCAGATCGAGTCTCGAATGCCAGCCGCTCCTTGCGTTATCAACAATATAGTATTGTAATTATCAACCGTTATTAGCAGTAAGTTATTGGGTTGTTAACCCTAACCCCCACCCCAACCTCTAACCCCCACCCCCCTAACCCCAAAGTAAAGTCCGACACAGTCATGATATAACAATATTGTTACAACCTTGTGTCGTCAACCTTGTAACATTCTTGTTATATTATGACTGTATCAGACTTGTTAGGAAAACCTTGTAACAAGCCTGATAATGCCATCAAGCTTGTTACAAGTTGTTAACAGCTTGTTCCAAACTTGTTACAACAAACTGGGAACAAGCAGTGCGAACACAACTTGTCGACAACTTGTGAACAGATTTGTAACAACTTTTTTACAGACCTGTAACAAACAGACCTGTAACAAACAGACCTGTTTGCAGACCTGTAAGTTGTTGAAAGCTTGTGACTTGTACGTTTTTACGTGTGTAGATTATGATGATCTAACCTGCGGGTTGCTTCGTCTGCGTTTCGCTTTCCCTTTAAATGCGGCTGGTTCGTCTTCAGGCTGCCTCTTGCCAGGGAGATCATCAGGAGAGTTATAGATGTTGCCGCAATGACGACAACGACAGTCACTCGTGCAACCGACGTTGTCTCGTAAACACGGACACTTGGATTTACGACTATCTTTGTCTTTACACGAGACGAACTCACCATCACTTTCCTGCAAGAAAATTATCAAGATCAGAAATTATTCAAAGTGATTTTACTTGAGAAAATCGAAGGAAAAGTTCATGGAGAATTTTGTAAATGTGGATACAACGTTAACAGCTCACGTTAAACATTGATTTCTTTTGAGTTTTTTTTCCCATGAATTATTAAGAGATTTTTTTGTATTACAAAATTTTTGTATTACAATAATTTTACAAAATATAGTACCTTTCTTCCATTGCCGCACATACATGCCTTTCTGTTTTTCCTGGCAGGACGAAACTTTCTTTCACTCTCGTTCAAAGGATTGCAACAATCCTTACAGCGACACAATCTGCCGCAGGGCTGACCCAGTTTGAAACAAGAACACTTGGATTGCCCAGGTTCTGTTTCTGTGCATGATTTTGTACTGTATTCTTTATCACCTTTCCTCGCCTTGCCACAGGAACATTTCAAACCTGTAGGACTCTTCATGGATGGTAACAAGAGTTCTGGAAATATACAGAAAGATGTAAAGAAAACTAGGCCTTCACGCGTAAAAACGCACAAGTTGTTACAGGTCTGCAAATAAGTTTTTACAACCCTGTTCACAAGCTGTAGAAAAGTTGTGTTCGCACTGCTTGTTCCCAGTTGTTGTTGGAACAAGCTGTTGACAACTTGTAACAAGCTTGATGGCATTACCAGACTAATGTTACAAGGTTGTTCTAATATATTCATGATATAACAAGAATGTCACAAGGTAAAACAAACTCGAAACAACCCCCAAAACAACCCCCAAACAAACCCAACCCAAAACAACCTCACAACAAACCCGAAACAAACTCAAAACAACACCGAAAGAACCCCAAAACAAACTCAAAATAACCCCAAAACAAACTCAAAACAAACCCAGAACAACATCAAAACAAAGCCAAAACAAACGCAAAACAAACCCAAAACAACTGTGATATGTATTGAGACTAGCAAGAACTTTTTAAAGGAGAACTGGTACTCGTCACCCACCTTGTGTGGAGTCGTAGTGTCCTGGAGCAGTGTGGTCAAACGCAATGAATAACGGTTGCGAAGAGGACAATTTTTCTGGCAAGAAGGGCAAGTATGGCGCGTGAATATACGATGTTATGACAACGATGGGCGCTTGGACGATACGACTGCAGACCATGACGCAGAGATCACCAATGTCTGAACTAAACCAGCCTGGCTTCGAGAACTGCTCGATCTCAAGCTGTGCTTCAGGGTCAGGCAGGTTGATCCATTTCTTGTACGTGTCGAGATTGCTTGAGACTTCTTTTGTAAATAACTCTCGAAGTGTGCTCATGTCTTCTTCTACACTTTTATACAGACCTAGAACAAATGGAAACAGAGATCTCTCTTATAGCAATACCTCTTTAATACGGACACCTCTTTAATACGGACACCTCTCTAATACGGACACCTCTCTAATACGGACACCTCTCTAATACGGACACCTCTCTAATACAGGCACCTCTCTAATACAGACACCTCTCCAATACAGACACCTCTCTAATACAGACACCTCTCTAATACAGACACCTCTCTAATACCGACACCTCTCTAATACAGACACCTCTCTAATGCAGACACCTCTCTAATACAGACACCTCTCTAATACAGACACCTCTCTAATACAGACACCTCTCCAATACAGACACCTCTCTAATACGGACACCTCTCTAATACAGGTACCTCTCTAATACAGACACCTCTCTAATACAAGTACCTCTCTAATACAGACACCTCTCTAATACAGACATCTCTCTAATACAGGTACCTCTCCAATACAGACACTTCTCTAATACAGACACCTCTCTAATACAGGTACCTTTCTAATACAAACACCTCTCTAATACAGACATCTCTCTAATACAGGTACCTCTTTAATACAGGTACCTTTCTAATACAAACACCTCTCTGTTACAGACACCTCTCTAATACAGACACTTGATCTAATACAGATTCTGATCTTACCTAGATCAGTAATAAACTCAGTATATTCTTTGGACATAGTTTCACTTGCTTTAACTTTGTATAACTGTGAGATAATGCTTGAAAAACAACAGTTGCCATCAGAAGCGACGATATTTCTTTCTAGTCCAAACGAAGCAAGATTTCGTTCCAATGCTTCCGTATTGATGGACCTCTCCGCCTCGTTATTCAGAATATCAGCACACTCTGTCGTGGCACATCTTAAAAAGAAAACTGCTTTTGTCAGTGAGGGAAATCTTTAGTGATTGATCGATTGTGCCACAATAATTCATTTCATAAATTATACTTATGGAACTTCGCCCTTCGGTGGCGCAGCAGGCCTCGAATTTCCCTGAAATCAATCGACGGCAATGGCGTTAAAAATTGCCGTAGAACGTAACAGCTGTCTACGGCAATTTTGGCAGTTTCCACGGCATTTTTCAAATTACTGTAATAAAACTTTAATTTTATTGTCACTTTGGATTTTTGACAAGCTAGAAACATGTCTACGTATTTCTTTAGTGTTTTTAGTTCGAAGAAAACTGAGACTAAAATAGTGATTTACGCATGATTTGATCAACATCTGAATTCAAGTATCAAAATAGTAATGCACAGTGAATAGTATAAAAATTGCACTATACGGCAAAAAATTCCCGTCGTTGCCGCAATGATCCACGGCATTTTGTTCTCCCTCTACGGCAATTGCCGCGATAAAATTCGAGCCCTGCGGCGCAGTCATCACAGCAAGCGCCTTCACCTCTGAGATCGTGGGTTGGATTCTCGCTACGGATACGTGTGAAAAAAGTCAGTCAACGCTCTGCCGAAAGTCGTGGGTTTTCTCAGGGTGCTCCATTCTCGTACCCAGAGCCCTTCTTACGCGCGGTGCGACGAGGGGCTCTGGCCAAATCCATATTCCGAACTGGCATCTGATTGGCTACATAGTTCTAACACCGAACATTGCTTTCTTACCATGTTTTTATGGTACCCGGTTATGGATTTGGCCAGAGCCCCTCGTCGCACCGCGCGTAAGAAGGGCTCTGGGTACGAGAATGAGGGTGCTCCGGTTCCCTCCCACAGGGAAAGTTGACAGGGTGGGTTAGGATAAACACAGTTAAGAAAGTAATATCACAATTTAAGATAAAATAGTCTAGGCTAAGTATGTACTATAATAATACTTTTGTTTGTGGAAACATCACGTAAATTTATTATACTGCAAAGCTTTCGATCCGTAAGCCCGGATCTTCGTCAGTGCCAATAACATGGGCGGATTTACTGGGGGATTAAACCCCTCCCAGAATCTCTCTAACCCCTCCAATAAAGTGTTCAACCCCATCAAAAGTTTGCTTCACCCCTACCATTTTGTGTGAAAGGCTTCAACCCAAACGCCTAACCCGTGCTGTAGCTCACTGAGTGGTGTCGAAAGTTTTCTACCCCTCCTTTTAAATAAATGAAAATCCGCCCTTGACTAATAATATGTACTGTAGTTAGGTAAGCGTAATACTTGGTGTAAAACGCATTTGATCTACAGATATGTTGCCCTGTTGAGCTACAGAAATGCTAATCGTAAAAATTGCCCGAGTTGAGATGACAATCATTATATAGATCTTGGATGTATTGTGTTACCTCAATAAAAAGCTGTATCCTTTCACCCAGTAATACGGAAACTCAACGACATTCAGGTTCTTCTTGTCGTATTTCTGTGCGACCAAATTGAAGATCTCTTGAAGATGCAGAGCTCTGGTTATCGCGTACTTCACGAGATTCTCATTCTCAAGACAAGCAACGTCAGTCACAGATTCAAACTCAACCTGAATAAATTCAATATCATGATTATATACATTCATGTGTAGCTAAAGAGGACTGTTTATTTTATCTTAATATTTTTAGATAGTTCAGACACAAACACGACAGCTTATTGTAGAATACTACCTACACTGGATGACTGGACCACCACTTTGAGATATCTTTTTCAAGTAGTTCAGACACAAACCACGGCAGCTTATTGTAGAATACTACCTACACTGGACCACCACATTTGAGATACCTTTTTCAGGTAGTTCAGACACAAACCACGGCAGCTTATTGTAGAATACTACCTACACTGGACCACCACATTTGAGATACCTTTTTCAGGTAGTTCAGACACAAACCATGGCAGCTTATTGCAGAATACTACCTACACTGGACCACCACGTTTGAGATATCATGGGTTCATGGAATATGAATATTAAAATGTCACCTGAATAAACTGGTGTATCCCCAACTCTGCTGCTTTGCTCCAGATCAGATCTGTGTTCAACTTGCCGTCAGCTTTCAAACACATTTTGTAGATATCTGTTGAACTGAAGGGTTGCTTGGTTTCTATTGGGATTGTAGGAACGACCCTGAGGATAAAAAAACAAGACACATTTATTTTCATGTATTGTTTTTTTTCTCCCAACCAACCAATATCAGTGTGTTGGTTTAATTACCCAGTCGTGATATTACACAATGGTTAAATGAAAACATAACTATTGGTCGCCTTAGCAAAAATACAATACACACGTGACAATGAACCGACCATTTTTTGCATAAACCAAGACAAAAACATATTGATAATGAAGTCTGTTACAATATCTCTGCATCGAGTTCCCTAACCTTCTTAGGCCTGTTTTATAAGTCAAGTTTGGTCGTGTCGAATGCAATTAAGGCAATAGATAATGAGATGATAAACCTCATTAAGCTTCATTATCTATTGTTTGAATTGCATTCGACGCGACCAAAATTCGACGTATAAAACAGGCCTTATTCTGTGGACTATACAGGGTGTATCAAAAAACCTGCAAACCCTTTGAAATACAATGTTTTCAGAATTTGGATGATTCAGAACTAATTCGTGCGTAAACACAATAGTTGAGCCATTCGCAGTCTTAACTAAGGGGCGGACCATTAGAAAAGTGATGGGGGGGGGGGGGGGACTTTTCTTGCATGCACGATATTTTTTTCGACTGCTTTGACGTTGCAGGAATTTTTTTTGGCACCAAATTATTTGCACGAATTTTTTTTTCCATGAAACTAAAAGTTTTCTTAACAAAGCACAAGTAACGTATTGAATGAAGGAAAACACTCAAAAAATGATTCCGGCATCTATACTAAATTCCGGCATCTAACTAAATTCATCATGCATGATGGCATTTTAGATTGATCGAGTTTTACTAATACAGGCAGCAAGAGATTTGTTGTTCGCGTATTAACAATTTGACAGTCGTGTGAATATCGGATTATGTGCCATAATAGGTAGAGCAACACTGATAATATACACATCTACATATGATGTAATACATTATACCTGAATATTCATCTTTTATTTCAGTAAATCTCCTCTGACATATACGCAGTGGGAGACACAAAAGCCAACAGGAGTTGATGGCATACCGCCACATTTAGCAAGGCCAAACCCCAATACCAGACTTTTTATTAAAAACACATATTTTATACAAAATACGTATTCAACTTCAAGTTCCAATCTATTTTACGAATTTACGATTTCAGTAGTATCTCTGTGCGAGTCAGTTTAATACCTGTGTCTGACTCTGATTAAAAGACATACATGATTACATGAAGCCGTCCAATTCTTAAATACCATTCCAAATGATGCAAAGCCAAAGGCACCGCAATTGAATTTGCGTCTACATGGGCCAACCATTCTATAATCTTCTATAGACGTCTATAGAAGATATCAAACGACCTACTTTTGTTGAAAGATGACTAACATCGCGGATTGCAAGTCCAGAATAAAATAAAGCTTGGCCCTGTTTTCCAACAATGAACAATCTCGCCAACAATGATTTAATTATATTTTTCATTGCGCTCTGCAGGAATTTTTTCCCCTCGAATTTGATCATGCAGGAATTTTTTTAAAAGTTAATTTGCCTTGCACGAATTCCCCCCCCCCCATCACTTTTCTAATGGTCCGCCCCTAATAATTAGTTTTCTGCATTACAAATAACTTTGTGTTATTCTAATTTCTATCAACGCGGTTAATTAGAATGTATTTTCAAATCCCAGGAGTAAAATAAGTAGCACCATACATTGAAATGCTAGTAAGCAGCAGAATTATGCAAATTATAGTGTTTGCAGGTTTTTTTATACACCCTGTATGGTTAAAAT